TTCAATTTTTTCCCCATTTGTGTTCAGATGAAAATGTGTGATCTTTTATGTTTGAGAAAAGTTTAAGGGCTTTAAAAATGGTTACCCAGTCTCTGAGCTTCCCATGATGGGAATTTTCTTACACTGTAGTCAGCCAGGTTACTGACATCTCTCAGCCAGCTACCTTTTCCTCTGACAACAGGATATTTAGCCTTAGAGCAGTGTGAGTATCCTGTTTTGATGCTAAATAAAGAACTTCGTGCACTGTCCGACTAGAGTGGATAGTTAAGAGAAGCAGGTGGGAAGATGCACTATATTTTTAGAGACTTTTAAGAGCCAGAAGACTTGCTTTGTAATGCTGCCTACTCCATAGGCTTCCTATGTAACTTTGGTTAAGTCATTTGGACCAGTGTTTACATAAACATCTAGATCATGATTTTAAATTCAGGCATATCCAGCCCTTTTCCCTCTACAGCATCTGAATTTACTGGTTCTGTGAAGTCCATGAATGTCAAAAAGTGGATATTGGTATATATTGTTTGTGTTCAAGTTTCATAGCTTTGTCAGACCTTTGTTGTAGATCAAATAGGACAGAAAAATCTTTAATTTTGCTTGGACATATTTCTACTTTCCACGTTTGAATGTTGCTAGAGAAAAAATAAGCGGGTGCTAAATGAAGTATTGACAAAAAAAGCTGCCTTAAATTTATATTCTTTTTCTTGTCTTTAGGTGAAAAAGGAGATAATGGTGACATAGGACCACCAGGTCCTAATGGTGACCCAGGTAATCGATAACACACCTTGTGTATGTGAAAGACTTTACAACAAGCATGCATCATCACTAAAAATATGTCTGTTTACCTACTGGGGGAAATAATGAATAATTTTTTTGCATAGGTACTATAATATTTCACAGTGATATTTTCCAATTATTTATAAACATTGAAGTTGCAGTAGTTGCTAGATTTGCAGTGTATGTGTTACAACAGTGTCTCAGAGTTTTCAGAGATGTAACCTCTCCAGAAGTCTAGTGGGAACCAAAGCGCAAACTGTCCTTATCATTCATCACCAGTGCAAAGGGACGTCTCTGCATATCCCACTCTGTCTTCCAGCCAACACAAAGCAGCAGGTTAGAAGCTCCTGCTTCTGTGTGGATTATTGTTATAGGAGCAGGAGATTATCAAGAATACAGATCACAGAATCACAGAATATGTCAGGTTGGAAGGGACCACAGTGGGTCATCTAGTCCATCCTAGAGCACATGGCACAGGACTGTGTCTGGATAGTTCTTGAATACCTCCAGTGAGAGAGACTCCACAATCTCCCTAGGCTACCTGTTCCAGTGTTTGGTCACTGCACAGTAAAGAAATTCTTCATTATATTCAGGTGGAACTTCTTGTGCTACAGTTTCTGTCAATTGCCTCTTGTCCTTGTCACCACCAAGAAGAGCCTGGCTCCATCCTCTTGGCATCCCCCCTTTAGATACTTATATATATTGATGAGGTATATAGGTCTTCCAGAGGTGTGTAGATCTTCCAGAGAATCAGGTGAAAGCCTGGCATACAAAGTGTAGGCCTTGCAAGAGTAGCAGGTTCAGATTTGACTGAATTCATCCCTTCCTGGCAGAGTGCACTAGAGGTGCACCAATTAGTTTCCTCATGAGAATAGAATTTGTCACTCTAATTCTTGATCCAGAGTACCATATTCCTACCATCACGCTCAGTTTTTCAGGGCAAGTACGCTGTGCTTAGACTGACTTAGACACCTAAGATGATTCATTGGGTAGTCAAATGCAGATTTTAATACTTACACACAGAAATACAAACTGAAATTGATCCTCGTGGAAATTTGTGCTCAAAGATGTAACAATTATCCTTTTAGTATTCACATTCAGATTAGCTTTGTCAGATCTTTACCAATTTGGGTTAATAGATGGTTTTCTATTGTCTTGTTATTTTGCAAGAGTTACTGCAAATTCTGTACTTTCAAAAGTACAGAACTTCATTTTACATCAAATGGTTGGAATTTTTGGATCTGCTGTGTTGTGTTCCTTGTGAGGAACAGCCAAAGAGTGCATGTGTAGATTTTTGCTGTGAAAGAAGTGCTCTGTGAGAAAACTAAAGAGAATAATTTTACTGAAAATGGGAAATTTTGACAAATGTTTTTAGTTAAAGAAATTGTGGGTTTTTTGCAGAGAATATCTATCTGTGTTTAGGTTAGCACTAATCGTGCAGGACTAAAGCTTCATGGGAAGTGAGTTGAGCTGTTCTGCACAGGCCCAGACCTCCTGAGAACCACATAATGGTGCAGGGTAGTGAAGGTTCTAATTTTCTGTCTGTTATTTGCAAGACAGCCCTCTCCAGGGCTGCCAGGCTGGCCTTTTCATAGACTTGTTGAGATAACTGTTGAAATTGGGTAGCTTTTTGATTTGGGCGTCTCTGTATCATTTCACAGGCATCCCCT